CCCTTCCAACCCAAACCATTCTATGATTCTATGATACAGGGAGATGTTCTGAGGTTGCTGTGTGCTACTTCAGATTATTGCAAGGAAGTCCTGGTTTACTCTTTTGCAAGGCAGTGCAATCCATTGTTTATAATACACAGCTGAGGTCTGGACTCTCTTGTGGTCAGACGAGCTGGAAAGAAAAGATGGGTGCAGCTGATGCATGTTTAATTTTGTGGCCTTTTGAGAACTATGTTGAGATTTGCAATGCCAAGTCCTGGTTTATGTACTTCCAGGTTTCCGATGGAGGGACAGGCTTCGCTGTTCTTGCCAGTAAAATAAATGCTTGCATGCATGCATACATACATATAGCATTTCTCAGCTCTGAGTCTTTCTCTATGAAGGAATATCCCTTTGGCCAGTTTGGGTCAGCTGTCCTGGCTATACGCCCTCCCAGCTTCTTGTGCACCTCCTTGCTAGCAGAGTATGGGAAGCTGGAAAGTCCTTGACTTAGTATAAACACTGCTTAGCAACAACTAAAACATCAGTGTGTTATCAACATTATTCTCATCCTGAATTCAGAACACAGCACTATACCAGCTACTAGGAAGAAAATTAACTCTACCCCAGCCGAAACCAGGACATCATCTTTCCCATATAGAGCCCAAGAGCTTTTATTTCCTTGCAGTACAACTCCTAGAAAAATGGTTGAGTCTGGATTTGAAGACTTCAAATTATTTTAAAAATAATAATAATAAAAATCCATCACTTCCCATGTTAGCAAGTTCCTTGTTCAATTACCTTCGCTATTAAAAAAAAAAAAGAATTCTCCTGTCTGATTTTGAATTTGTCTGGGTTTAATTTTCAGCCATCAGTTCTTGTTATGCCCTTTTGTTGGGTTAAAGAGCTTTTTATGCCCCATATATTTTGGAATTTATGTGCAGTAATTGAGGCCTCACTAACATTCATGAATTATGATGAGTAGAAATATTCTGAGCAGGATAGAATAACCACTGTTTGAAATTTATCTAGATGTCTGCAGATTTTTGCACTAGCTATTGCACCATATGCTCTCATGATGGATGTGCAAAAGTGGATTTTTCCTCCAGGAAAAAAGGGATTTTTTTGTTTTAAAGGAATGTGATCATGAAATTTTGGGGTTCTGTCAAAACTGGCTGAAGTAAAAATGAAAATTACTGGAAGCCTTCAAGCTGAAAATACTACAATCTGTGAGCATTATATCCCTTTTCCTTATTAAAAATATCAGAGTACTTGAGGAAGCATGGAAGTATCGAGTGTTTTGGTGGCAGTTTAGCTATGCATTGTTATAGGCCTGTGTGCAGGGGTTTTGTTTTGGTTTTTATTTTCCTAATTAGTAGTCGTGCTAGGAAACTAAACAGAAGCAGCCATATCCTAATTCTTTATTGTGCTGCCAGTCCTCATTGTGATCTGGCTTTGTGTCCTCGTTACCTGTTTGTCAAACAGTTTTTAATACAGTCAAGTTTTTCATGAGCACTCGCTGCCATTTGGAAGATTCACAACTTTCCTACCAAGTTCTCTGCTGATTCCAGTTCTCCCCAGAATAGCTGTTCTTCTCCGCCAGTGCAATGCTTTTGAATTGGGCATTTGTCCCTGGAACTAGTACAAAAATGACTGTTTCAACCATTGACGTTCAAAGAAGCCTTTGGAGGAAGAATTATACTAATTTCTCCCCATTCTTTCAGTGAGTGTCCCAACTATTTGTGCAAACCTGGTATCTTGAAAGGACCTGTGTTTTAGAACACCCTTGCCTTCACAAAATTTAAGATATGTGCAGTTGATGTGTGTTTAATTTTGTGGCCTTTTGAGAACTACGTTGAGATTTGCAATGAAAGGCCTCATTTATGTACTTCCTGGTTTGGGATGGATGGAGTAAGCTTCTGTCTACCAGAAAGTAAGGATCTTTGCCACTGTGCCTACCCTGTCTTGTGAACAATTCCTCCTCTCAAAACTAATGGCTTTTTCTTGATTCCTAAAAAGATGATTATTTGGCATGGTGGGTATCTCCACACTCCCACTTAGTTCACATCCAGAAATCTTAAGTGACATTTTGTCAGGCCTTTAAAGTATAGACCCCTGCATTCTTAAAAGACTATAAACAGTTTCTCTTTGGGATTATTTTCCTCTTCAACTAAGTTGCTTAAGGCATTGTCTTAAGTATTCCCACAGATATCCCTGGTTATGTTGAATTTTCTCCTTGGAGTTTAAACCAAGTTAGATAGCAATCTAACCCCACTGTTTTCCAACTTTCTTCTTACTGTGAAAAGTAACTCTTCCAGTGAACAGCATTCTGACTTATTTTGTTGGGGAACTTATGTCTTTGACATGTGAATTTATCTACTGTATTTTTCTACAGAGAGAAAGGTATTTTCAAAGTATTCCCAGGTCAGATTTCTGTGGTAGTCTCTGCTTTCATCAGTAAGAAGGAGATTTTGTGTTTGCATGTATTAACTCCTATACCGGTCTCAGGATTTGATGGTACTTCCTGGATGAAATGAAGAGCCTATGTGTCTTTTTTTTTTTTTTATCTCGTGGTAAATATGAATCTCTTCATCCTGTACGAAGAAACCTTTCAATGAGAAGAGTTGCCAATAGGTGTTCTCCGACAGATCAGAGATATGGCTGTTGTTAGTGCAATCAATTGGTGTGCCTGTACTGGCATCTGTCATGTCATGGAAAGGTCAGCTCATACCATACTTCAATTAATTGTTTTGTCATGATGTGGCATCCTATATTCTCACCCAGAATGGAGCAATAAGTATTCAGATTCAAGAAAAGTGACTGCATGTTATACATAGCCTCTGACAATTGCTGAATTAAGATTGTCTGTATCCTGAGGGAAGAATCAGATTAGAACAATCTATATCCCCACTGCCTACAGTCTGAGACACTGGGAGCAGTAAGCTTTCTGTTAGTGTTGCCACATCACAAAAGCAGTTCTGAAAAAAAACTTCTACTTTTTTATGTATAAATGCAGATTTTAATTTTGTGGCTGTCTGCAGAATATGAAACTATACCTCAGCCTGGCTGGATATCCACCTGCACTTTAACACTTACCTTTGCAAAAAGCTTTTAAAATTTTATATAATGATAGCAGTCAGATACAGAATTAAAAATGCTATGGCTCTTTAGATATGTTTTCTTGAATATCCCTACATGTTTGTAATTACCTGCTTTAATGACCTCTTTCCTTTAGTTTTAGTCGATGCCTTTTGGTGACGCAACACATGATAATACACAAACGTTTAAATCTACTACAAGTTTTAAAACTTTTTTCCATTATATTCATTTTTTTTAAGGCATTACATGCCTTATCTCTTAGGTGAAAGAAAAAAGGGGGCAACGTGTCTTGTATTACAATGCCTGTATATTAGGATGTCGATGGGAAAGGTGAACATGTACTGTATTTCCATACTGATATTAAGTATGGACGTAGGGGAACATTCTTTTTGCCTATAAAAAGACTGATCACATGATCATAGCTGACATTTAGATGGAGAATTATTCAGTAACGTAGTACTAGCCATCTTTTTTTTCCTGTGTTCATATAGCTACAAGGTGGTGGTATATAAGACTTCCTCTTATACCACAGGTTTCAGGTTGTCCTTTTAAACCCACAATTTCTTTTCTCCTTCTGAAAAGACATTTATTTTAAGTGTTACAGTGTTTTAATAGATTACGCATATCACCTGTAAGTGAGGTGTTAGAGTATAATCTACATTCTATTCTTCTGTGACCAATATGTAAGAAAACAACAGAATGAAAATTATGACAAAATTAATGCCAGTAGCTATGAAAACTTATTTTGCATTGTGCAAAGTACACAAAGTTGCATGCATCTATTTCACTGAGACAGGTGGAAATTACTTGTCTTATGAACATGACTTTCTTTTGAATAGAAGGGTGAAGGAGTGCCTCAAAAAAGACTAAATACCTACAGAATGCTAAGATTGTTCAAAAGTAACATTTATTTTAGAAGACATGAACCAACCCAATTATAAGATAGTGTGTCTTTATGATATTGGCCAATGTATGTCCTATTGGGCTGCCTGATAATTCATATATTGCCTAACTACCCAAAATCTCACAACCCATTTATGACATAAATTTGTAAAATAACAGAATACTTAATTGTCACTAATTTCTCATCATTGTTGGCTAACATATTTTTAAGATTTATTTTAAATCGATTTATTTTTATTCAAATCAATCCAGGGTCTTGCCATTCTATAGTACTGGTCTAGAAGTAATATCTGTTTGATAATTGATGACTGATTTAAGTGCAAGTTCTACGAGTACTTAGATTTAAAATGAAATCTTTTGGGGTCTTAACCTTTAGCTACTGTAGTGGAACACCTTAAACTTTTATACCACCTTGTCATTCTGAGGTATTTCTAAATGTTTTACAAAATATTAAAATTAAAAGTTAATTTATCCTTGAGTGCTGATACTTGTATGTAATTTAGATCTAGCAAGAAGAAATCAAAGTGTTTCATGCTTAGTGTGGTCTCTCTTTTTTAGTCTGATGTCAGAAAGGAGATGTATTACAGTGAAATGTGAAAAGCATCTCATTCCAGAGGGTCTGTTCTAGGATCAATGCATTTGTTAAGGCCACGGTAAAGACCTGTTGTAGTTCTCTCCAAATCTTTCACTTAAAGGTGAATTTCACCTTACAATAACAGCTGTTCAATATGAAGCATTTATAAGAACGTGTATGCATCTGTTGGTGGGACAGTAGATAAGAACTAATTTAAAACACCTTGTGAACTTTCTTGGCACCAGAAAAAAAAGATCTTTCTTGGGTTTTGGATAGATGAGTCTGATTGGCTACAAGTACAGTGAACTCTAAAGCTGAATTACTGGTATGCAATTCTAAGTCACTAATTGTCAAATGCACTAATGATCTCATTGTTCAAGGGGAAAACTGTTTTCAGAAAAAAAGAATGAATGCATGATTATGCCTCTCCCCCTTTGTATGTATGCATACACCTCCACCATTTTGTCTTTAATGAGTATCAGATCCAAAAGAAATCCATTGCATAGGAGAATAGAACTGTGTCCAAAAAAGGGAGCTTTTACATTGCAGTAGAAAATGAGAGACTGAGTGTGTGACTGATACTGTGGGGGGGGGAAATTCTTAAGACGGAAGTTACAAAAACTCCACATTATATGATGTCTTCAACTTCAGCCATAACTAAACAGAAATCATTTCTGCTATTCAGATGTGACCTCTTTATTGCTGGAACCTAGACAGATATAACACTTAAAGTGTTGAAAGGTGACCGTATAGGTTGTGTGGAGCACAATACCATGAATAGTTATGGCTTCACTATTTTCAGTAGTTTCACCAAAGGCTGCTGTATTGTGGGATCCTATCAAATGTGACAGTATATACTATTTTTTGAGTATTAGTTAGGAGGGATGCAGTACTTTTTTCTGCTAGTACATCACCCTCCTGATATGGTAATTGGAGGGCAAGCAGAATCGACCAGCTAATGACTTTAAAAACAATAGTAATTGATACACAAGATAAAATTTGAATCTGTTTTTGTTCTAATATGATTTCTGTCTGAATTGTATAGGTTGTGATAAGTTGTGTAAATAGATGGGAATTCAGAAAGTCTTTTGTGATCAGCGGTTTATTGTTATACATACTGATACACATAATGAGGCCTTTGTAAGTTGTTGAACAATCTCAAGTAGATAGCAGCCAGTGAGCCAAAGATGTTATTTTAGTGCAGCACTAACTTTCTTAATCTAATCAGCATCACTGAAAACATCCCCCTGTCCGCCTGCTTTGGGAGAGCAGTCTGTGTTAGGCGCTTATCTTGGAATCTGGTCATTTAAGAATGCGCAACCTACAGTGACAGAAAGGCAGTCCACCAGTTTACCAACACCACATGTGAGCCTAGGTTTTAGTAACAAATCCATGGGACTGGACTTCTGTGGTAATACCCTATTCCTGTTTCCTCACAGAAACATGCATCTGCTCAAAATATCAGTGCACTGAAATGTAGAAATATGACTCACCATGCAGAATAATGGCAACTGGCATATGATTTATCATGCCCCATCATATGACGAGCTAGAATATTATATTGTCAATATAGCATGTCAGAGCCTTTGGAAGTAATTTGCAGTATCTCTTTGTAGTTGTTTACAAGATGGAGTTGGGGGCCAGGCACTTTTTATTAAAGGAAAATGGAGGTTTAATTGCTCGGTCATTACAGTATTTTAATGATAATGCTCTGTGCTAATATGCTGTATTTAGGCAGTTAATAGGATAAAAAGCTTCTGAGTAGAACGCAGTAACTATGTGTCAGAATTATACTAACTTCCAGTTATTAATACTATAATTCCAAGGTTTCCACAAATATAAATATGATGTGAATTGGTGAGAGATCAAATTACAAAAGAGTAAATTATAGTGAACTTAGTGTGTTTCATTACAAGGGAATCTGTCCTGCTTTGTAAGTGAGCTTTGGTTTTTTTCTCTTCCTAAAAGATCATTGAACAGTCAGGGTTCATACTAACACCTTTTTCATGTGCTTCAAATACCCGATACCTTATTTTCATCTTTATTGTTTCTTTTCTTTCTTGTGACCCTCCTAGGAGGTGGAACTGAGCAGAATGATTCAGAAAGATTATCCAGAAGAGGGCAGCCTCAAACAGAGGAGGATGCGTAAGTGTATTAAATGCGTTTTGGGTGCAGTGTCGTTATTCTTACTTACAAAAGATTAATATTTCATACAGAATTAAATTAATAGCGATTATTTTTTTAATACTTGTAATTCCACAGGATTGGATATTCAAAGGTACTGAATGGCAGGCTTATAGTTACAGGTACAGATTAATGCAGGGTTTGCAATACAACTTGTCTAGCCGGTTCTGTCTTTCACTGGTAGTGTGGGGCATATGACACTGCCAATTACAGGAGTCACGCTCATAGTATTACACAATGAGGTATCGTAACTAAACTACTGAAAGGAAGGTATGTTTTGCCTTTCCAGACTCTTCTGAAAGTGTACGTTCCCTTACCTTATTTTTGGAAGCATTAACTGCCAAAGATACAGGGCCAGTAATGCAGGACACTTTCATTAAAAACTAGCCACAGATGGTCATGGTGAAACTTCATGTTTGCTTTGCAAAATCTTTTAAAATTCTTGCCTTTTCTGCCACAATCTTATTTTAAGCTATAAGCTTCCTGACACTAATGGGCTTTGGGCAGACCACAGTTAGTAAAGCACTTAAATAAATATTTCAGTTGAAGTGTCTGATAAACTGCTTTCCTAAACTTGATAGATGTAGGGAAGGAGAAGTGATAAAATGTGTTAGAAGTAAGACTGCTAGTGTCTCATGTTGTTAGTATTGCTTGACCTTTTCTGTTACTAAAAACATATTTAATTGTTTATAATGTTGCCAAATCTCGGCTGAAAAAGTCAACTGAAATTTTCTGTGCCAGCAGTGAGGTGTCAGGCTAAATGTGTTATGTATTTCAGCCAAAACAAACACATCCATCCCTAGAAGTTAGGCAAAGGAAATACTTGTTTCATCTATGATAGAACTTGGTGAAAAAGTAGAAAGCTGTGAATCTCTGTAAGTTGGATTGTATCAGGGATGCCTTTCATCTTTATGGGAAGTCACCCAATCAGAAATCCTGGAAGTTATGAGGTTTTTTAATATGGAAGTTGTATATGCTCAGTAAAACTACTTTGAGTTTAAGCTTTAGTCCAGCTACAAATCTGAAAGTTTCTTTCCTCAATGAGCATGTTCATACTTCTTGCTGCTAATACAATATTATCCTAGATAGCCCCCCATCCATTTCCATCCTTTTTACTCAACTGAAATCACATTCACCAGAGACTCTTGTGATCTCTTATTAGCAAAATTTTTTAAAAAAGTCTTTATTCTCCTCCTTCTTCAACACTGTCTACATTTTTGTTCTTGAAATCTTATTATCCTGTTGTGTTGTCCTACGTTTTTAGTTGATGCTTCATCTTGTCCTTTGGTGGAATCTTGACATCAGTCTTTGACATCTGTCTGGGAAAGTCTAATTCACAGCTCAGCATCAACATGGCTATACCACATCTCTTCTTCTCTACTCTACGACATTATATATTTTTTTATCATTCTGTGTAATGTGATTGTCCTGTATTTCATTCAGGCCCGGTGCCTGTGCATCCAATTCAAATTGCTATGTAAATTCTCCTGTCTGTAGGTCAGGCACACTTTCTCTCCAAAATCTGAGGTGCATTTCCTATTACCCCAGTTTGTCACTAAGAGCTCACCTGTCAGTGTAATGCAAACCTCCGTTGCCTACATATTCCTTTGTTGACCAGCTTCTTTGTACTTTTCTTGTGTTCCTACTTCAGACAACAGGTCATACTCTAAGTCCTGTTGAGATTGAAGGCAGAGCGCAACTGCTGTGCTGCAGCTTGTGTTATTGGAAGAAGTATCACCATGCTAGTGCAGTATTCATGCAAGCTAGTTAACCAACATTAAAGAGTTGGGGTTTTGAACTTGAGTGGGTTTCTTTCATCATATGCTTAAGCAGACATTGATTTTGTTATTCTGCTTCTGTATTATGTTGTATGTATTAAATATTTGTATCACAGTTCTGCCTGGTGTCCCAGATTAAAATTCCCTTGGGGCTAGATATTTTATGCATGCGTTTCTTTTTCACTAACAAATAATATTTGTGACATTTATTCAACTAAATATTATGTTTCTTATGTTTGAAGTTGTAGCTCTTCCTTTTGATTATTGCACTTGAACTCTCAATGTGTGTGTTGGGTTTTTTTCTTGTAATGGATACTTTCCCTCACCATTAGCTTGAAATTTCTTCGTTGTAGGACAGTAAGTATCTTCTAAGTGATGGAGCTTGACAAATAGTAGAATTGTTTGAATGGCATGTTAGATAGTAAAAAATACAATCTTACAGTTATATCAGTGGAAAGCTGTAAACTGATTAATTGGAGGTTTTTTGTGGTTCAGTAAATCCCTTGGTCAACACCTATAGACTCGTTTCTTAGTGATAGTAACCTTGAAATGCAGAACAATTTGAGTAATCATAGTCTTCATTGACATGTAAATGTTTGCGTTCAATAATTCAGTGTATTTTTAAAAAATTGCAAGATTTGCAGGAGACTAGCAGTTAGTGACACACCAGTAAAACACATTTATAAACTAACACCTACACAGTGATATTTACATGAACTTCCATACACTTTATTTTTACAGATGAAAAATATACTGTACAATACACTGACTTTAGCATTTTCTTTTCTGCATAGCCTTCTGTTCCCATGTTGAAATACAATAGTGATAAGTTTTTCTCATACTGTAGTTCTGTTTCTAAATTTGGGGGTTCTTATAAGGGTGATCCTCCCTTCTGTGGGAGGAAGCAGTAAATGGATTATTTCTCTGTTGTCTCCATTTGATTTGCATGTTTAAATGGTTCAAAGAGAAAATAGCCTAAACATTAATTGCAGGAATTTTTTCAATACATATTCAGTGCAAATCCTTAATCATGCATTAAAGTCCGCCATTTAGATCTAATCTGATTGTATATTATTTTAATTTTTACTGCAAAACCCATTAAACTCTGAAAGCTGACCATCTTTACACTGGTAGTAAAATATATTTGTGGCTTAAAAGGGGAGATAGTACAACAAAGCTGAACAAATAACATCATGCGATGTTGCCCCTGTTGGGCTCAGTTTTAACTTCTCATGTTTCCTATGGCTACAAGCAGGGTCGTACGGTCTTGCAGTCCATGGGTTTGGGGAGCTCGTCCTCTTGATTAAATTCCTGCTCTGAGGAATAAATGAGTTGAATTCCTGTTTTTACCATTGTCTTCCTGCATGATCATAAGAAAATTCTCTAATATTGCTGAACCTGAGTTCCTATCCTTACAATTAGGAGATACATATTTTTGGCAGCTCACATATAAATCCTAACCAAAGGCAAGTTATATTTGGTGTTATATGACGCAATCAGATTGCGTAGCCCATCTATTCACAGCTTATTTAGATCCATCCTGATTACAATGTGAAGAAACTGTGGGAAACATTGTAAACACTGATTTTCAGCAAGTGGTGATGTGGCTAATTGAAATTATTTTATTTTAACTTTTTATGCAGGTTCATGGAATTGCAGTCCAAAGTGAAAAGTTCATTGGTTAGAATTGTGAAAATAAGAGCAAATCTGACAAGTCTACAGGTCTGATTTACACTGATTTTTTAATCTACTTTTAATATAGGATTTGAAATAAAAATGAAAATCTTATATGCAACATCTGAGTTTTAAGAGCTAGGGAAGCAAATAAAATACTTGAAACCAGGCAGGTTTGACTTGGAAGTCCAGAAAATGCAAAAAAACCCCAGAACTTAGTAGAAAATTATTTTTTTAAACTAAAGAAGTTGCTTTTCCAAGTACACCATTTTTAATTTGTATCACTCCTCATTTTGTACACAAATAAAAGCATATGAAGTAGTTATCAACTATTATTTATAACTTGAAGTATGAATCATTACTGCATAGATTTTTATGTCCTTGAAGATTAAATATCCCTTTGTGTTGAAGTGATTGTACTATTTAATTTACCACTAACGTATCATCATTTAATAGTCTGTTTAATACAGGCTAAAATGCAAATCACTTTTCTGTTTTATTCACATTTTGTTTCCTGAATAAATTCAGCACAAGGTTCTTTGCTGTGTATCAATATCTGAGAAATAATTCAGTGTACTCAAAGTATTGTATTGATTTATTTTACTTGCATATGTGGTCTGACATGTTTTATTTACAAAAAAGACTGATACTGATTTAAAATATTTTAATTGAAATGTTTATTTAGAAAACTCTATTGAAAAGCCCTTTATATTTCTCCTGAGATTGATAGTCTATGGTTTTAGGTCTACCATGAAATGCTGAGGAGTGTGTTCAATAGAATCTTAAATGCTTGTAGATTTCCATTTTACTAACATATTATAGCAAACTTGTACATGTGCCAAGATTGCTTTTCTGGGGATAAAGTGTTAATCTGTTTAAACAGCTGAAGACTTAGAATGAAGCGTTAAATAACAGGAGATTTTTAAGTAACACTTTAAAAGGCACCTGAATGCCATTTTCAAAAGTAGCATATGTTCTTACACCTTTAAACATTTTAGTCCCGTTGACTTTCTGTGAGGTGGAGTCCCATGCATCATTTAGAGCTTATGAAAAATTTCCAAAAGTTCTTTCTTTCAGATGTTTTTAGTAAGTTGTAGACGTCTAAGTAGGTAGTCTGGGAATAAGATTTAACAATGTCTTTAATCATGTTTTTTTTCCAGGCTTTAGAGGGCAGTAGAGAGCTTGAAAAAATTATTGGCGTCTCAGACTTGTCTTGCGTCTTGAGTGCTGAAGTGCAGAAAACCCAAGTGCTAAGTAAGGAGGATTTTCAATAATGTTTATCCTTTTTATAACAATTTAACAATGATCACTCCAAAGGTTTCCTATACCCCAGGACTCTGATATGTGAGTTCTTTTGGTCAGGACAAATGCACCTTAAATGTCCTTGTGCATCCAACCAGGGACAGAAAAGAAAGGCAACGCCAACGGCCCACTCTTCTAACTTACCGTCACAGATGGGGAGGAAACACTTGCAAGAGCAACACCTTTTCTTATGTAAATAGTTAGATACTTAGTGGGTAGTTAGCTAGTGATTAGGCTAAACGTTTGCACTTTGATTTCACTGCCTTTCTTCTCTTTTTGCAAGGAAGTTGTTTTGTTTGTTTGCCTGTTAGGAGGATTAGGCTGAACATAGGATTCTAGGCTTTAAAAATTGCTATTCATGTGTCTTTAAATGATGGACATACCAGATGCTTATTGTGTTGGGATAAGGGCACTTTACAGATGGTACATCTGTAATACTTTTCCAAAGGAACCCAGAAAGCCAAAGATTTTCATTTTTATGTGTCCATTTTTAGAAAACCTTTTATCCTTACTCCAAGTCAGAGGTTCTTGGGACACGTGCATCCTCAGCAGCGAAAAGTGCATTCATACTTCTCTTCCCAAGTCCCTCTGCAACTAGAAGGGGAGTATGTGATGGGGAAATATTCTAATGCAAAAACCTTGCATTATGGATAATAGCAGGGGAAAAAAATCCTATCTGCTTTCAGGGAGAAGAAATAAAGATCTCCCTTACCAGTTCATTCCTCTAAAAGTGGTGAAAGGTAGCTGTAGGCACCAAAGGGGCCCCAGTCTTTATGCTTCAGAAGTTTGTTCATTTGTTTTCACAATAGCAACACCTTTTATCTGTACCCACATGACATGTTTGTGGTACGGGTGTGTGTCTAAGACTGCATTTACCTACCACTACTTCTCCTCAAAGGTTTGCATGTATAACATTGTTCTTGTAGACTTTTTATACCAACCTCTGACAATCTAGTTTCCAGCTGACCAGGGAACGTGAATAATATATGCATATACGTAGTCCCTGTGTCCAGTCTCTGGACAAGCATGCAAAGATGATAAAAAAGTTTCTTAACCTGCAGCAAAGTGACGTTATTCTACAACTCTGCTCTGTTTTCTGCAGAGTGTAAAAACACTGGAATTAGCTATAGGAGAGCAAAACGTAGGGTGACTGGGACTGCTACCTTGTTTGCAGTTGGAAACAGGTGGACAGTAAAGCCACAGGTGCCAGAGAATTTTTCCTACCAAAGAGCGCTGTGAGTCTTCTAAAGCATTAGGTGCATGCGCCCCAGCAGTGGAATTTATGCACCACACAATTCCAGCAACTACTGTTGTTTAAATTACCATTTCTTTCCTGACTTGTATTGCAGTGCTCATTCAGTTTTCATTTTCCATGTGTATACACTGTACTAGTTCCCACTGTAATGCATATAACCAGATGCTTTCTTATACAAAATGAAGTTTTCTGAAAATAGTCTGTGTTTACATTACTACCCTACACTGTGGATAGGGCAGTAAGACTGCCGTATCCAGGAGAAGGTTGCAAATGAGATGTCAGACCTATTGTTGACACTTTCTGTATGTCCGCTCTTTCTGTTAGCTTCTTGTTGCCTTCAAAATGGGAATCATCTTTTCCCCCATCTCTGAATTAGGAACAAAGCACCATGTCAGCACTGGAAGACAAAAATGGGAACAAAATGTGGTATGAGGCTTGTAAGCACAACTTCTCAAAATTCTGTTCATTTTGAAAATGTTTTGTTAATTTTTTTGACCACAATACATAGAGAAGGGGGGGGGTTGTCATCACTTGAAGAAAAATACAAATGCTTTGAAGGTGAAAAAGGCAGCATAGGTATTATTTTCTTTGAAATCTCTGGGCAACATTTATTGATTTCAGATTTATTTATTTGACTAGTGAGTCAAGCAGAAGAACTGCAGCTGTTGAAAAGAAATCATGGAAAACTTCCTGCTCGAGGTAAGAAACTTTTTCTAACTCCTGTGTAACAGATGTTTTGATGATTCCTTTTAGTTGATTCCTTCTTAGTTCTTTCCACTTGAAATAAGTTGGGTAACCTTTAGTATGTGAAAACGATGATAATCAAATGTGTTTCTTCTAAGCATGCAGGCTAGTCTAAACCGTTGCACTACTCACATGTAAATGTCATCTTTTTGCTATTTTCATTATATTGGGTATTTCTCCATCAAAGTGTGCAAGGAGAGGAAATCATTAATGGTCTTGCACTTGAGGCATGGTCTAGAAATAAGTGCAGTCAGGTGCTAGAGAGTTTACATACCTTTTATGTATGCCAGTTATCCTCGTTCTTCCTCACTCTCCTCCCTCCCCCTGCATTTTCAGCGTATAAGCCAAGTAGCATACAGTCTTTGCAGCAAAACCTTTTTCACCTTACATGTATTGTGAGGTATTTAGCACACTCCAGGGGACTGTGAAATCCTAACTATTAGGTTTCTTCATAACTAGTGCTGCGAAAATATTTGAAGTTGGTGGCATTTAATATAGTGTGGCCCACATAGCCACTTTAGTGCCTTGTCTGGCCGGGAAGGTGGCGGGGGATACACACAAGATTTATTTTTTTTCTTTACACCCAGTAAAATCAACAAACATTCACCACTGATATTCTGATATTTCTGTTATCTTCACGCATTCTATCTTAAAATAGAGCAAAACCAGAATCAAAATCAGTGATGGCATCTCTACCGCTCTGTCTACCAGCGGTCCCAACCAGCAGGACTGCTTCATATCACAAGCAGCCCCTTTGATTTTGGTTGTATCTGCTCTTCTACAGGCCTAAGTTCTTTCTGCTGTGGGGAATTCTCTTAAAGGAAAGAAAATTGATCAAACTTAAGTTTCCTCAGCTCCAGCGGATTACCGCAAAAGGAGTGACATCACTTTTTAAGGAATTTGGCTCATTTGTGCAATCTGCTATTTCTGCTTTACAGCTCCCTATGTCCTTCTGTTCAAATGATCACAGCCCCTATCTGGCACTGATAATGGTGAACGCTATGGGCCATTGCAGATTTAAACAGTCATTGCTTCCCTTGTGCACTGCTTTTTAATGGTCACCAGGATATACATTTATAGTTCCATCTTTGCTGTAGAAACTAGCGCCTAATGCTAAACACATCCAGTCTTGTTAGATGAGAAATGAGATATTTTGTGAAAGTCAGATGGAAATAGAATTATGAGTTTAAGTTGACCAACTTTGATGAAGTTTCAATGTCAATTTTGCTTTACTAAAGAATAAATTCAGTTTTGCAGTCTTGAAAATACAGTAGTAGGAGAGGCGAAGAAGTATGTGATCAAAGAAAAGCATTTGGAGACGTTTTACTTTGCCTTTTAGTTTTGGATGTGGTTTTTCATAATTATTTTTAATTAGTTATGCTCAAGACTTAAAACTTATGACTGTTCTGTGGCTTGATATAGACGGAATGTCACATTATCATCACATGGTGAGGCATGAAATTTATTTACTTTACATAAACAACCTCTACTTAAAACAACTTAATACAAAACATTCCTTGCTTAATGGGCAGCATTATGTAGGACTTAGTATATCATTTTGTGTGACCAGCACAAAAAATGGCATCATTGTTTGTCCATGACTAGCATTTACAGTAAACAAAATGTTTTTGAATAGAATGTAAGCAAACTGTAAAGCAGCTGCCAAGAGATGAAATCTAGTCGGTATGTTGCAGTCCAAAACATGCTTTATGTGTGTTGAGAATAAATGTGTCGGTTGCGATACGCATATTTTAAAGGAAAATTTAATAGGTTCAGAGTTTCAAGGAGTGAAGATAATGTTCTAAACAGGAAAGCTACTTAAGCTGATTGTTACAAATTATACTAATACTTTGCTTCCCAAAAAGAAAAACACTGACATAAATCATGTCCATGACTCCGTCTGCTGTCTAAGTAAGAAACAACAAGAGAGTGTTACAGAAGATCAAATACTTACAGTGTTAAGGAAAACTATTTTCAGACTGTATCTTGGAATGAAATAAAAAATACTTTCTTTTCTGTGTTGTTGTTCATCCTGCCAAGCCCATATGATCACCCCTATTAAGTTTAGTTCCAAACGTTCCCAACTTTCATATTGTTTTTAATACAAGTGACTGCAGTTTGCACTCTTTGCAACAGTAGTGGTGGCTTTCCAGGAGACTGGATCAGGGTTAACTAGATGGATTTTCATTTAAGGCCACTTGAAATTACTAATGAAAGCAAAGCTGGAGAGATTAGGGACCAAGTAATAGCGAGTTCCCACTCACCAGTCCAGTTTTTTGAAGACTGTGTATATATGGTGAAACATAAAATGCCATTTCAGAAACACTGCAAAATACAGACGCCTCCTTAATAAGCAGAGTTCCTTCTCAAAACAGATAAAATGGTAAGAATACAATATTTCACAGTTTATCCCAATTCATGTCAGTTTGAGTTTGGACTCTGTGTTGGGTCTTTGTGTACAAGCAACTAAATAGCTTGGGTCTGGACTGCTGGTGGGTTGCTGTGAGGGAGGGTAAATCAAGTTTACAATATATTTCTACCTCATTCTCAAATAAAGCAGAATACATTTGTTGACCTTTAGACATACTTGGGTGTCTGTCTCCCACCTATCCTTCCTCCTCCTTTGGGATCTTCTAGGGCAAAGGGGAATACATCAGACTTCAGATGTATATTTTCAGGAACATATCTGTGGATTTTTCTGACTGTAAAAACCCTAACCTAAAAGACACAGGTTTTTTTCTCAGCCCAACTTTGTATTCACTTGCAGGGAATAAATGTCATTATACCTTTTCTGGGAAAAGTAAGTCTCGTAAACAGGCTAAGCAGAAATTTATTAAGTGAACTGAATGAATTCACAGGTAAACTTACTCAGAAACTGAGTTTCTTTCCAGAGTTTCCATTCCTTGAGAGCAAGTGGAACAAATACCATGATTGCCTTTGCTTACAGCAAATACTCACTTTTCAGGGAAGGGATGAGGTGGATGCAGGGGTTGGACCTATGTGTTGGGAATGGCCTTTTTATCTAACAAATCTGTAGGCCTCTTTCTTAAGTACTGATACACGAGCTGACTGAAAGGATGAACCATATGCTCTAGTTTGTGCAAACCCTACTTCTAGGCATTTGTGATAGAGGCCTTTCTGAAGTTCAGTTCTTCCACGTTTTCAATCTGTTTGGAAAAAAGCTGCTAATGCTGACACAAACAATGTTCCTTACTTCTACCAAGGTCTTTTCAGTTAAATCCTAGGCTTCTTTCCAGCAAAAGTTTAACAAGGTCTCTCCAGCAGACTTTTTGTGGTGTACATCATCTCTAAAAGCAACAATGATGATGCTGAAGGACTTTTTTTTTCAAATAGATTATTACTAGATGGAGACTTAGAGCTTGCGTTTGCAAACGATATGCTTACTTAAGCTCTTAACTTAATACTCAAGGCCAGGTTTGATGTTTTGCCACACATCAGAAATGTCTGCTCTGAGTTAACGTCCCTACATAGTGTTTGGAATAGCGATGACGGTCATCAGTACTCTTTCACTTAAGCCCTGCATGCAACCAAAATACAAGTTGCCCTCTTGGCCTACTCAGAAAGGCTGTGAAACTAAGATAGAAATTGAATTAAGAATTAATATTTTCTGAAAGTCTGAAAATACACTCTAAAGCCTGGTATTCAATTGCATTCAAGTTCAGTCAACCTAGTACCAGACAGCCTGTATGCCCAAGGCTGTGGAGGCCAGAGCTGGCACACAGACTAGATCTGTAATGCAGCTGCAGTGTGGCGTACATACCCGCCTTTACCACAGGACAGAGGACCCTTAAGCCAAGAGTCTTCTCGTGGCCAGAAGTGGAACGAAGGGGCTGCAGTCGGGCAGCACTTTGCAGGATTTCCTCTAGAAGAGCAGTCACTGTGACTGGCACGACTTAGGCCCTTAAGGTGCAGGTGAATGGCAGATTAAAGAGAGAGATTGTGCAGATGCACTGCACACATTCCCAACTGGTAGATGATTCCTTGGAGCTGAAACCAGCCGATGGAAATGAGTGTACCCTTTGAGTGTTATGTTCTATGTCATTGTTGAGACAGCTTCAAGAAATCATAACTTTGTTTATGTGGTGCAGGAGGGAGCCTGGCCTTGTTCATCTGCTCTTCCGTGTGGAAGATCTATCTGTACTTCTGCTCACAAGGCTTTTCTACAAGTAGACATGGGGAAGAGTTAAGCTCAGTTATGTTTTTAAGTTATACCTCGGTGTGAATGCTTGTAAATGGGACTGCACTAAGCAAAACAGAATTAAGACTGCTTCAGCGCTGAACATGTGAGTGTGCGTTTGCACACAAGGACTTAGTGCAACTCACCTGTTTTGTTTACTCATAAGTTATTTTGAATGTCCCCATGCAGAGACCCAGAGAAATCGTTCTGCCCTCCCGCATTTACAACCAAAAATAATTGTGAGATTGCCCCAAAATGCACCTTGAGGAGGAGTGTTTTCTAATTTGTATTGTGTGGATTAAAAGCTGTTGCTGCTCAGGCTAAATTTGACTGTACGTCTTCTCTCACTCTGTGCAAGCGGGTCTTTTTTTAGTTTGAAACCATGCAAAGTCAGAAGAGGTAACAAAACCCACTTAGCCTGATACCCAAAATCAGCAATGCTAGTGATTTTCCTAGGCCGAGGGAGTAATCTTGTCTACTGAAAGAATGCTACTGAAAGGTAAAGGAGCTGGCAGAGAGGTTTCTGTTTGACCCCCAAATGCTGTGCTCTTTCCCAGCAAGTTATGGGTCTGTTGGACTGTACCTGCACCTTAAGAGTGCGTATTCTAAAATACAGCCTGCGATTTGAGAAGTATCTGGGTCTGAGGTCACCGGCATGATAAGCTTTTTGGATGGAAGGAAGGGGGCAAATTACAAACTTCTCCAATGATTTAACATCCTCTGCTATGTAGATGAAATATTAAGCTATTAACTTTTGTGGCAGATACAGAAATGCACATGAGACATATGACTATAGGCCTCAGACGTATATACATATGGAACTGTCAACCTGCATTTTATATTTAGGTGTCAGCCACATTTATTCATGAATTTCACACTTGTGTTTATATTCTATTTTCCTATATACCTTTTTACAGACGCAATAGCTATTAATTTTTAATTCTAGTGGATCTAGACTTTAGTGTATTAAGCTTAATGAAAAATTAAAAAGAATTGTAGTTCTTTCAACAGCTACATGTAGCAACTCCTACATGAGAATAAGTACTGCTTTCTCCCATGAATATAATTATTTTAAATAAAAAAGAAAAGAAACATTAGTTTGGACTCACTTAGTAGCAATTATATGTTTAAGAGGTGTAAATAACTTGCTATCCAGACATTACAAATATCCAGGTGCTCTGTATGTGCTGATGACAACAAAATTGAAAAGAAAGACTGAAATAATTCTGACTGGTTTTCTCTGCAGAAGATATTGATTATTTGTGTGTGGTGAGAGATTTGGAAAATTCAATTAAAGGAGTTGTGCAAAGGTTTCATAAATTTTCCTTGTACAGCGTGTACACAGACATTGTTGCGTATTAAATCAATGCAGCACTTCACAATATATTTTCTTTGAAACATAAAAATAAATAACATTTAAACAGTTCTGCTTACTACAGAAACAAATTTTATTTTCTGTGAAGCATTTAGTCATGTGCTATCACTGACTCATACACATTTGCCAGCTGTAACAAATTTTATAGACGTTTTCTCCAGAGACATAGCTCATATACTATGAATTTTTAAATGAGCAAATGGTGAAGAAGGGATGTCAGCAATATAAAAATTGATCAGTTAAAAGATAAAAGCATAAGTAAAGAGATTTGTATGGTGGTCTTAATAGGTTTTATTAAATAAAAATACTATAAAAAGACAGTAATGAATAGACTGAAGGTTTTAACTGTGGTTGAGGTGGAGAAAAATTATTCTGGCACGTTTAGTAGAAGATTGGTTTTATATCACCTGACAGGTGAACATTTTTTTTCTCTCTGCTTTTTAGATCTGTAAATGTTTTAGAGCAGTCAAACTTGTGAAAGAATGGCGGTGGAAGTAGGGAGGGAAAAGAAACTTGGGAAGGTTCTGCCCTTTTAATGCTTTTGTGGGCCGGGGACAGGAGACACCATGGCAAAGAGCAGCAAGGCTTCTACCAACCCACCCGCGCAGGGGTGAGGTTTCTGGTGACTCTCTAGCTGCTGCCTTACCCTATGCAACCCTGAAACATTGCGCTGATGAGAAGAGAGCAAGCTGGTCCTGCACCCAGCTAGTGCTTGTGCCGCAGCCGGCTGCAGCCCAGACGTCTTTCTGGTCACCTCCACAGATGCCTTCCTTTCCTAGCTGCTCTGGTCACAACAAATTTTCATCCAGAAGTTTTGCTAACGTTCTCCTTGCTTTTATGTAGTTTCACTTACTTACGAGTTCTGCATATGAAAATATCAAGAGAGAGAAGGGTTGTTGGAGGGGGTGTCTGTTTTGTTGGGGGTTTTCAAGAGCAACTCATCTTCATTAGCTCAAAACCACACACATGGAACAAAAAACAAGCTTAAACTGCTACAACAAGCATTGTAAGTTTTTGGAGCACGAGTAGTAAATCGTATTATTTGGTAACTTGAATATCTAAAACTTAATGCCATCTGCATAAATATTACTATAAATAAGGCTGTTTTGTCAAAATTTGCTATCATGGTGTATGTTTGGAAAGAAAGCGGAGTTAATGATGTTTCATATGAATCTGTGCAGCTTACATTTTTTTAAGACAGCTTCTCAGAGTGAAGTGCAGATCTTGGCATGGTTGCTTTGGCACGTATGGGTTCTTTACCGCATAGTCAGAATGCTGCGATCAGTGATTAAAGGGTTCATAAAGACTGAATTAGGAAGTTGCATTTAGCACGAAGAAACCAACTTGTAATTAAATCTCAGTCTTTTTCTGTTACTTGTCCTACAAGACTGGACAGTTTCCTATTTTAAGCAATAGTTAGTGGTATTTTTTTAATTATAATTTATGTAAACAAATGGTGTTTATTAGGTATAATGCTGAAAGGTTGTACCTGAGGCAAAGTTGAATTGGATGCCTTTTTTATGGAGTAATCTTATGAGACCTAGCTTAGGATGGAATTTCTGGTTTGGTCTGGGTCAGCTCCAGGTAACGTCACTGGCACCTGATGTCAGACCCACAGGCAGGTCTCCTGCGTCACGTCACAGACAGGAAGCGTGTGACACCTGAGAAATCACAGCATGCCAAACGAAGAGAACTGCGAAACTGAGGAGAATCTTCCCCACCACCACCCATGTCTTTGGTGGCTTTGATGCCTCTCTCTGTCTAGATTTATATGCAGACCCTTTCCTCATAGTAGGAGTCTTTTTAGCTATAAGCTGCTGTAAGTATGTTTGTTGTCCTCAGTATGTTTAATATAAAGTGAATAATTCTGAATTCTCATCACCCTTTTGTGGTGGTGGAATGAAAATGCAGTATGAACCATCAGCAGACACTAAGGGTACCGAGACTCTGCAGAGCCGACCCTCTGCTGCAGAAAGCCATTCGGAAATCTTGGCACTCGGATGCACCTGCTTCCAGACCCTTTCCCCGTATGTTCTCATTCCCTGAGTTCCTTTCTACCCTTGCACACTTTTCCTTTACTTCTTCCAGCCATCCGCTCAGCCCTTACCCTGGCCCTGCCCTCCTTGAGTAAGGGGCTCAGGTGCGGTTGCCTCTCTCTTTGCCATCCCCTCAGAGGACCCAGGGGATGGTTGTTTCTCTCGTGCAATCTTTGATACGGGTCTGCTGATATGGTCCTTATGGATTTTTATTTATTCTTTTATTATTAATAGCGAAAAAGAAGGACTTTAATACTCTTTAACACATTCTGTTCTGCTTTGTCATCATGGTAAAGATGTAGCATATGTGCATACACTCACAAGTAATTAAGACAATCTCCTAAATTACTGTTGAGACACAGTAACTGTATGAAGTAAAAGGGGTTCTGTTAACCACTGCAGTAACTTATTTAACTCATGTTTGTGTAGGGATTTTCATAAATTCTGTAATAGCACCATTGTTCTGTTTATCAAAACTGATTTTCCTCCTCCGCAGAGTATGTTCAGACTGCCAGTAGCTCCGTGTTCCTGAAGTCGCTCCTCAACCGAGGTAAGTAGCCCCTTGGTCTGCTCTGCGACTTCTCCACGTACAGGTAGTACAATCAGAAGGACTGAGGTACTTAATTTTAAAACATTTGCAGAGGGATCTAGTATGTAGGCCTGCAGTCAAGACTGTAATAGCTTGGTGGGAAAACAGTTCTTACTCAGCATGTGGTATTTCTTGTTACTGGTTTGTTAAGCAAAGTGACATATTGAATCTGTAGAAACTCTGTCCCACTCTAAAACACCCGATAGCATTTCTCCTTGTCAACGCTGTCAGTTTCTAACTGGCTGTTTTTTCAAGAATGGCAATTCAGCTGTAATACATGTAATGAAAGCAAGAAAAATTGTGTACTCCAGATTTTACCTTCTTAAATGCCACGGCTGATGCCCTGGAATTCACCAAGGAGGCTGCCTACTGCAGCCCCGCTATGCTATTGATGGCAGGGGTACTTCACTGCCTGGGCTCAGGCTTCGCTTTCCTGCAAAGCTGCTGTGTGCACCCTTCCTCACTGTTGTTATTAATGCATAGGTAGACTCCTCAGCTCACTCATGGCAGGCCGTACGCAGCCAGCCAGAACAGCTCCGCCAGCCAAGGGCCTCCAAGCGGTGCTCTTTTCCAAGAGAGGACAGTGGGCTGCAGGGCAGATGGTCCAGTTGAAATAGCAGCAGCAGCAGCAGCAGCCCACTTCCAACCACCCGCTTCCCCAGGAGCATCTCGCCCTCCTGTTCCATCTCTGCACCTGCACCTCAGACAGGCTGGGCTTGCTGCTGATCAATCCACCGCATCATCTTTCTTAGCACTCCCAGAGCAGAAAGCGTAAACCAATATACTAACAGACACCTCAAGACATGTTTAATGGGTTTTCAAATTCTTCCTCCTTTGGCTACTCCTCTTTGTTCCAGTGTTATAAGCAAAAGCCCAGTTAGTGACTGACCTTGTCTATCATCATATATTACCTGTGCATGAGAAAACTGGTTGCTTGTACCTTTCATAAAGTCTAGTGAGACAAAGAAGTCTCTAAAGATGAGAATGTCTGCAGATCGTATCAATTCCCTGTGCAGTGTGAAACCTCTCTCCTTTGGAAAGTTGAAGTATTCTAACCTTGTAATCGAGGAATACGGAAGAGTAGATCTACAGGTTTTACAAGCTGTGTAACTGCGTTAGTGGAGGGGTGAGCTCAGGCACATGCAGTTTGCTTCTCAATGAAGGCTGAATTTTATTTTGTAATCACAAGTAACCTAGTGGCAAAAAAACGCTTTAAAACCCTGCTTGTCCACAAGCTAATGTTACCCTAATACTTACTAGCTGCTTATGCCAGAGATTCTTTCTACTCGTTACTCCTTCCAAACCAACCACCACACCAAAGGCTGGGAACAGAGTAATCGAGGGATGGAAACCAGTGCAGGTGAGGAGAGCTAGCATCCTGTTTAGCAGCTCATTTTCACCATTCAGCGTAATTTCTGAGTCCTACAGAATGCAGAGAGTGACCGTTCTATGGCACAATAACCAGTTTAAGTCTTACGCTGGCTTATTAACTTCAGCTAAACTCGTACTGACCACAACTACAAGGCTTCAATTTGAAGTTAGCTCAGAGAGCACTCATGTCTCTACTACTAGATAGTATCGTCTAGTCAGTGAATATTGTGTTTGCACCTTATGTCCAAAAAAAGGCACATTTACTTTTTCTGGTTCTCTCTACCCCTTCCCAAGTGTGACTAACACAGTAAAGCCCTTTGCTTTCTTACTGTTTAAAAAATATCGCTGCGATAGCTAAATGATCTTTTAGCAATTATTTCTCAAATTAAACTACAGCATTTCCTTAAAACACCTTAAAATGTTACTGCAGTTCAAGGGAGACCATCTGTTGCCCTGCATTGCCTTCGGATGTATGGGTGTCTGTCTGTATTTTTTGATGCAGTGAGGCTAGTACTGGATGTAGGACAAACATATTATTCTGAACAGATCACATGAGTGATGATGCTGTTGTCTAATTGCTATTTATCTTAGTCATTCCTTATCTCCGCACAGGCATTATGTGCAAAATGCATTCCACATCAACCCGAAGTTCTACATCTGCTTGACTGTACTTAAAAGGAGAGAAGAAATGACTGTAAACCTATCTCCCCAGCAAATACCAGTTTGGGATTGCTCGTTGCGCTAGGCAGGTGCACATCTAGATAAAATTTCTGGCATCTATTTAAACTTAACAATGTGCACAAGCAGATAATCTCAATGTAAATAATACATCATGGTTGCTTTATGCAAGCGTGTGTACAAAATGCTGATTTAGGTTTGCTGCTGCATGGAAAAGAAACTATTTTTTCTTTATGTTCTTACGGCAAATATATAATTATGCTGCCTTGTGTTTTTTTAAAAAAAAAAACAAAACAACACTATAACCCTCCCTCCAAGAACTGGGTGCGAAGAAACCATGTTAAAAGATGAACTTTGGATCCCAGGCCTTCAGTGGGAAATGGTCCCTTCCTGCCAGGGTGGGGGGTGCGCGTGTGTGTGCGCGCATGCCCGTTTAATCAATCCATCATCCCCCTAAAAGCTAGCAAAACATGATTTAAATTGATGCAGCCAGTTTTGCAACAGCCTGCCTAAAAATTTACAGCTTTTTCTCATGATGACTGGGCTCAAAAGATAGAGGAATGGTGAATGTGAGCACCCTGCGTCTCAAATCGGTGAGTTAGGTGCAGCCTCTCTCATGTTGAAAGGGTGTAGTAGAATGTTGGGGGTTTTTTCAGAGCGTGAGAGAGAAAGTTCAACATAAATGCACAGAATTGACTGTCCTTTCTGGCTACCACTGCACAAGTACTGTTACTGAAAAAGATAAACTGATTTTTACAACTAAAATTATGAGAACCAAAATGATAAGTGTGTTCTAGTTTGTGGTGAAACATGTATACACTCAAGCTTTGGGAGTTTTTTAATAAATAAAAGTGGTTTTGCACTTTAAAACCTGTGCAGTCTGATTGGAAAAAATGTTAGTAATTGTTTGAAGGGAATTGTGTCAGTTACTCTTTTTAATTTCTACACCATTCTCATTTAAGCTTTCTGTCCTGTTGGTTTTTGTTGTATGTACAAGATTTGCCAGCTGATCGCTTTGTATAATAATGGAAGGTTAGCCTGAACCAGCAATATAACCCGATTGATTGTAACTTCTGTAGCTGGAAATTAAATAATTATCGGTCTGAAAAGAGTCTGTAAGTGAAGCGTAAGCCAGTCTAAATCAAGCTGGTCTGTGTAGTCTTAGAAGAACAAAATAAAACTTTTACAGAAAATAACAGTAAAGGTGATGATGGATGACAATGAGTTACAGCACTAACTTACACCATGGCAATTATTAAATACCATGAAATTTGGTATTTAATAATTTTTTAGGGAAATACAAAGTTATATACTAAGATTCTGCTGCAAATACTCCTCCTACGTGCCTTCGCTCTTTAAGCAGTTACTGTATCTTTGACCTCCTGGTGTACTAGGCTTTTGCCTTTCAGAAACAGCTGGGTCTGTTAAGAACCATTTCCAGTTCCACACAAGGTGGATCGTATGACTCTCACTTTATCACCCCTGGAGGCCATCTCAAGGACAAAGAAAAGAGATACACTCAAAACTAATGTTTTTATATGGGTGGGAAGGATTGCACGATGATCTCGTGCTGAACACAGGAGAACAGGCTAATTAGAACCTGAAACCGTACTGCTTCCTTCCATCTTAATTTGCTGTTATTTCATTGGAAGTAGACGTTCTTCAAGCTGCCTGAAGGTTTGGCAGTCTTTCACCCAGCCGTGCTTGGAGGGAACGCTGTGGTTTTTAGCTTTCGCAGCCTCTGGAGACAAAGATTCCTATTTATGTGTCCTGATCCACGTCAATGCCACTCAGCCTACGCTTCTAACAAGAAAGGCCATGCCGTGGGCAGAGCTCTTGCATGCACACCCTCAGAAAAATTCTAAATACTTGTGAAAATATTTGAGTTTTGTAGCTTTATAGTGAACTGTTACAGTGTAGGTAAACTGCTAAACTGTACTCACCACCGATAACCTTACAATTACTACTCAAGAGCACCTTCTTTATTTTGTATCAGCTGCCATGGGTATAATGTTGGCTGTGGTTACTTTTTCCACAACAAATAAAGCTGGAAAAACTGAACAAATACACTCCGCTTGTAGACACTTCATTTACAGTATTCATAACTCACACAGTTGGAAGTTCCCAGAACAGCTGATTCACACACTCACAACCGATGCTGCAGAGACAGCCCCAGAATGTGCTAATGTCAATGACAGTTTGGTATGTGACAGAGCGCAGCAAGGTCAGGGGAGAAGCCTTTAAACAAGGATGGGTTTGCTTTTTTTTTTAATATATATATATGTGTATATATAGTGTCAGAGCAGAACTAAGAAAAAGGATAGACTGACTCCTAATTAAACTATACTACCATGAACTGCTTTATGATTTATTTTCTTACTACATGCTTTGTTATGTATATAATTATTCCAACAATTTGTATTCTCTGAACCATTGGCATCAGAGGCTGCACTGTGCAGAGGGAGAAAGTGCAGAGTTTAGTTCAGTTTACATCTGCAAATTACTATGCAATAAGGGCTGTTTTTCATTGTGGGGGTTTTGGTTTTTTGTTTTTTGTTTTTTTTTTTTTTTGAAGAGCCTCGTATCTGCTTTCAAACTGCGCTGCAGTACCTCAGCTGTTATTTCAGTAGAACCAAGCTTTTTTGGCTTTTCAGTCCTGTTAGAAACAGTTGTTGAGAATCATAAGACTACACTAGTGTTAAAACCAAACCATAGCTGCTGATCTACAGCAGAGGAAATCTACTCCAACCCGCTGCATACACAAGAACTTTCCCCTTTCCAAACTTCACAGCCTCTACTTCTGTGCCCAGCACCAACTCTGGTGCGTCTCTGTGGCTTACGCAATTCTTCAGCATTCTGAAAGTATTGGTAGTGTGGAAAATAACACATACTATAGTTTAAGAAAACCAAAAGCCTGTGGGTGAACTGAAGCTGCTACAGAATTGCCGTCCGAATGCGCTACAGAACTTGGGTCCATCTTGTGGCTGAGCGTATGTATCTCCAGCCAATGACACTGCTGGAAGGTTGAGTTGAGTTTTCTTCCCTACAACATTAGCTGAAGAACCAAGTGCTCTGCTTAGATCGCAGCATCCGGAGAGTTCCTCACACCGACACACAGCCTTGTGCAACGGCCTGGATGAACTGCAGTGTGCTATACGAAACAGCAATGGAGGACAGTGACTGACGACACAACAGTTTGTGTCATAAAACAATTCAGCAAGACAACTTAAGAGCTACCAGTCAAGAGTTTCCACTTAACCTGCACTACTTCATTTGCTTATGCTTTTTATGCTGGGAAATGTGTAAACTTAATGCCAACAAAACAGTTTGCTGTTTTGCTAATACAGGCAGGGTATTTTAGCATTAATTCAAAATTTGGTCCTTTATTAGGTATTTTAAGTTTACAAATGGTAAGAAAAGTATTACGCTTCTGAAGAAGACAGACCAAATCACACTTCCAAGTGTTCTTCAAAATACTTCTCCTTTAAAACAGTCTTTGATTATTTTGTGTTTAAATATGCATAATGTGTTTCCTGATTTTCATTAGGTTACAGGAATTGTATTACATCACAAACAGGTTTACCTGCAATGCCAGACACCGTTGACTGAAAATACTCTGCCCTTTCACAGTTTAGTCCTTGATCTTCACGGGTTGATTAACTGATTTTCTTCTGACTTCTACTATTCTTTGAGTCCCAGAGTATAACAACATTAAAATACACCAAAAATAATAAAAAGTGTAAGCAAGAAATAATGGACACGGATACAGGGAATAAATCCGGTAACCTCTGTGGAGGATGCACTGCAGCGCTCATTAGAGACAGGATGCCCATCAGGGTTACGGAAAGAAGAAACTGTAAGATAAGGAACAATATATTAGCTAATGGTGATTTAACACCTCAAACAAGTAAGCTGTTACTTTCATTACTTGGGTGCTCTGTATTCTTCAATCTATACATAGATGACATCGCAGAAAAAAAATTATAGCACACCTCTACACTGAGATAGCATGGCTTTCCCTGTTTGGGGCTTTATACACAGTTACGGACATAAAACTGGTTTATGCAAGTACTTCAGTACCATGAAGAGCTGCAACTAAGAGTTATAGGAATTAAAATTGCTTACCAGACTCCTGACAATCTTTGGAAATGACTTAAACCAAGAAACATGTCCCTTCAGGGAAAGGGAGAATGGTTTCAGCTGCAGGTCCTCTGGTGAAGTCTTCTCAAATATGGAAAAGGAAGCCACACAGGCTGACAAGAATGCCAGCATTGTCACAGCGTAGGCCAGCAGCAGGCCGTCTTTCAGTAGAAGAGGCAACATACTGTTAAAACAGAATTGCCCGCAGAAGTGAGTGCACATTCTGAGTCACATTTCAAAGAATGTAAAAAAAGAAGAAAAAGAATACATTTATACTTAGCAGAACTGGGGAAGAACACTGTTTTAAAATAATGTTAATAGTGTCCAACTCACCTGAAAGTTGATACAAGTAAAAACCACGTAGCCATGAAAGGGATTTCATTTATGATTAAGCAGACTGGTCTAGAATGAAAAGAGGAAAACCAGATATGCAAACGCTGAAGTGACAGCACTTCGTCCGCAACCTTTCACGCAGATGCTGCACTCCCACTCCTCTGGGGGGCAGGGCAGAGCTCTACTCCCCGCCGGCACGGGCTCAGGAAGTCCAGGAACAGGCAGCGCCCAAAGCGCTGCATCCTCTGCTGGGGCGCCCTGCTCCCCCCTACACGCCCCACTGAACCCCAACATGCAAATACTCTGCCCTGCGTGGGGGTCTGCAGCAGGAGAGTCGCTCAGCAGAACACTTGCAGCGCGTACCACTGGCACGCACAGCCAGCCAGGTTAGTGCCTGTTCTGTGCAAGGCTTTGTGCTGGCTTCGAGGAGCAACTGTACTGCAACTTCTAGACAGCTGCCTATAGAGATAACAGGAGTTCTCTAACCACCAGTTTAGCCTTCCTGTCAGGCATGAAGGAGAAGTGTTAAGAGGGCTGCCTCTCCAAATCTTCCTTTATCAAACGTTACTTTCAGGTACACGCAGGACATCCACGCAGAAGAGCAAAGCTGCTGACTGTCCCTACAGCCCTCACCTCCTTTGGGGCAGGGGATGGGAAAAACATACCGTAATGACAAAGGGAGAGAAGGACCCTTTACCGACGCTGTTAGTGAGGTATCAATCGCCCGGTTCAACTTACCACTGTGCTCCAGCCTTGCTGGGCAGCTAAGTACAAGTCTCTGCTGTCTACGGCAGCATCGCCTTAACCAACCCCACAGCCAGTCTATCCCTGGACGAACAGCTATGCTCTGTGCCACGTCATACTCCAGGAAATGCAGTCAGAACACTGGCCCGGAGGGACCAGCATGGCTGCATTTGTATACTTCCATTTACAAGTTATTCAGAAAAGCAAATGTGTAGATTTTTTAAAGTCAGATATATTTGTAAGTGAGAAAGCAGCATGCGATAATAAGATGAGGAAAAGAAGATCAAAATACATCCACAGAAAAATAATTTAC